CCTCGGGTGGTTTTGGGAGGCTGGTACTTCCTCGGGCGAAAAAGCAGTTTTCCGGAACTCGTTCGAAAAGTCTCCTTTACGAACCTCGTAACGTCCTTCGCCTTCGGCTCAGGCCGCAAACCTCTCGGTTCGCAAACAGAGACTTTTCAAACTCGTAGGAAAACTACCATTTCTTACCATGGGCCTAAAGTGCAACTGCCGCTTTGCGCTCTCGGTAAGAAAAACATTATACGCGACTCGGGCACCAACCTACAACAAGCGCGCACTTCGGGCGCTCATGTTTGTACTTTGTGCCCTAGTGACGTAATGTACCATTTTATAATAGATCCCTGATAAATAGTCATTATCTAAATGCTAACTGAAATATTTGAAAAATTTATGAAAGTTCAACATATAGAAATTTTCAAATATTTTAAATGCTATAGAGCATACCAAAAAAGTCAATAAATCATATTTTTAAGGTGAACAGTCAATACAGTGACTTATAAGTATAAAACTGTAGTTGACAATTAAGAGAATCTATTTCACTGAAGTACTCTTTTTGCATGACTTTTATTCTAACAAAACAGAGTTTTGAATTTAAATTCCTGTAAAAGTTAGTTTTATCACCAAGCACCAGGTTTTTATTTAAGAAACTATTGTTTTGTTACCTGAAAAATAAAATTAATATTATAAATATTTAATTTGAAAATCATAAAATAAAATTACATTTCCAGTATTGGCCGGCCAAAGCATACCAAAGTTATGGCTGGTGCACTAGAAGGTGACTTGTTTGTGGGTCCTGTTGCAGAGGAACATCGTGGCTTGTTAAGTCTTCGGTACCCAATGGAACATGGTATAGTTAACGATTGGAATGATATGGAACGTATTTGGTCCTATGTTTATAGTAAAGACCAGTTGTCGACCTTCAGCGAAGAGCATCCTGTATTATTAACTGAAGCTCCACTCAACCCTTGGAAAAATAGAGAAAAAGCTGCTGAATTATTTTTTGAATCATTTAATGTTCCTGCTCTCTTTGTCTCCGTACAAGCTGTCTTAAGTCTGTTAGTAAATCTTTTAACATCTTACATAAAATCTAAACATTTTAAACATAGTTTATTTCTAATTACACTGAACTGTACCGTACGTGAAAAGAATAATTTTAATATGAGACTGTACCACTAAAATAATTGCTCAATACCGAGTGCGTGCCAGTCTTATAGAAGTCAACGTACAGTCCTTAAAAATTTTGCAATAAATATTTTGATCTATGTATTAGTTCTTTACCTTGTGCTATGAGGTGAGATTTAAAAGTCTTGCTAAAACATTTGAAACACTAATGTCGGCATTATTATTATTATTATTTTTTTTTTTTACTGGGTTACCACGACAGCCTACTGGCCTAGTCGCGGGGGCCACTCACTCACCACCTATGTGTGAGGATGTATTGCCACACCCACCTCTAAACCCTTTTCCTCATATCCTACCTGAATCCATGGGCACAGTGCGAGTATCTCCGGTAGAACACTTAGCCAGTTAAGCTGACACTCTCTGCACCAACGGTGCATCGGGTCCACTCGCCACTGTGTAGCCTTTCCCCGGAGAGGACTCCATATTTCAGGACATCCACTCCTCGCCGGTTAAGCCGGCGCTCTCTGCCGAAGCATCGGATCCAGGCTAATTAGCATCCCCGGAGAAGCCCTATGTTTCAGGGACCACTCCTCGCCGGTAAGGTCGGCGAGCCCTGCCCAACGCCTGGTATCGGATCCGCTAATCCCTACCTATAGCCCTAACACTGTTTCGCATTCACCCAGGCCTGAAAACCTGTGGGGCAAGGAAAAAATTCTGGAATTTCTCTGAAAAAAAATTCCACGAAAAAACCCACCCCAAAATAACCGGGGTTAAATAGGAACTTTTCCCAATGAAAACAGTTTTTCGAAAAAATCTGCATTTACCGGGAATCGAACCCACGACCCCTAGAACTGCGTTGTATTAGTAACAAGCACGCTTACCACTAAGCCAACGCCGCTCTTGTTGGCATTATTATTACTATTATTATTGTTATTATTATTATTATTATTATTATTATTATTACCATCTTCATTGCTAC